AGCTTCCATGACTTTTTGGTTAGGAGCTCAGCTAATAAAGTGCTGCTGTTTGCGAATTCGATAAGAATGATTAACACGGAAATAAAAACCGCTCGAAAAGACCACCTAGCAGGCTTTTTGGGAACTGATTGCAACTGTCTTTTGCCCGATCCTCGAAAAGTGAACGACTTTCAGAGAAACCATCGGAAAGTAAAAGTGAGGTACGGACATATTCCAATGTCATTCCCTCTGCAAAAGCCCCCTTTCTGAGGCATTTCAGCACAGCATTTAAATGAGCACACATTGCATGCTACTATTGTAAATAAGTAGCATAGTACACATCGATGATAGGATTTTTGATAGAGGACGTACCGAAGAGAAATTCATCGCTTCAACTTTTGTAGATGGCTGAATTACCGGCCCATCAGAGACAATGGAACAGCGCTGATGTGGTTGCGATGGCGAATGTAATTGCTGTTCAATGGCTCCGTGCCTTGGTGTTCCAGCGGCAGTCTCGTCCATCTGTTCCGCGGTTACAGCTGCCATCGCCGCCGTTTTTACCAGCTGGTAGTCTGCTTCCGTACGCAGAGAGATGAGTTCGTTGTCTCGAGTAATCACCATACCGTCTAGACTACCAGTTGAGGTGCTTCGCTGCCGAAACTTCTCTTCCAAAATGCGACTTATTATTCCGCCGCCTATGCTGTTAGCAGATATTAATTTACATTTTGAAATCCAACTTCAAGGAGCTATTAAAAATCCTAGACGCTGCATCTTGACGCCACAGAAGAACATCATTTACCGTAAATAAGCAACTATTTGGAGTTCCATAGCAGGGAGGCTGGTGAATGTGTGCTGAAATTTGACTCCGAAATTACTCACAATACAGTCTCTTGATTCCACGTGCTCTTCACGATTCACCAATTACATTTTGTTGGACTCTTTCCAAGCTGATATGCTTTACCATACCTCCAAATAGAAATGAAGTGGTGAAATAACAAAGAGGGAAGGCAATCACCTACCGTGAATTCATGCTCTTCTGTTGATTTTGTGTCTGTCCAGTGACTTGTCGCAGCTTCTCACGACGAGCAACAGCTGCAACTCGTTCATGCTCTAGCCGACGGCGACGCTCCTCAGCCCGACGTCGGGACTTTTCTAGATCTATTGCTTGCTGCACCTCCACTGGACGGAAGAGAGCAATTGCCAGCTGGAGTATGAAATAATAAGACATCTGAAACTAAATGCCACATTAGACGTGAATTTAACTACGCATCCTCCAATCTGCCTTTCTGGATGTTGCTTAAATGTGAAACACTTGAATCTTACAGTTCAGGACACATGCCTACACACAAGAAGCGCCAACGTCATGGAGACAAACGATGTTTTGCCTACATGATAGCAGTGAAGTGTGGAATTAGACCTACTATTATCTGCTGATGATGACTCCTTTGTTTGGCTTTCACTCAACTCCAGTCAGTTAGTGGTGAGGGAGAAGCGTAAATATTTCAAACTCTCAATGCTAAACAAGGACACCTACTTGTCCTCAGTTAGGTTACCTCCCCATTCTAATGAAGGATGATGAGTTGCCGCCTGAATGTGAGTCATCACAGAAATTATACTTTTGAACTACTTCTGGACAGTGTGTTCTGCTACCGACTTCTTCACCTCTTCCAAATGAGAGGTAACAACCAACTTGATGACAAGTTTGATGTGCTCCCTTTTATAATCGGACTACAATTCCAAAACGCCAATTTAAGGTGCATTTTGTATGTCTGTATGAAATCACAACAAATTGTTCTGATGGAATGCACTGAAAAATCGAGTGAACCTTACGAATTCCCTTGATAACATCAGACATAAGTAGACGACAATATATCACCCAGATTAAAAAGTAACGCTTGTTTTCCCCACACACCAAGTAAATGAAACAAATTGATTTTGGGACTACATCTTGTCGTCTGCCAACAGAGGATGTTGATGAGACGACTCCACCATCAGTTTGATCCACTCACCTAGACTAAAACCCGAATTCCTGTTCAACCACCAAGATAGGTAGTCAGGATACTTCAGGAATGGGATTTAGAAAGCGACCAAAACCTAATCACAGACAGATTGAACTCAAGTTAAGTTCGATACAGAAAAAAAAGAGAAAGGGAAACGACAATACACTTTTCCGCTAGCTGGTGGAAACGGTGAAGACTTTCCAAGACGCATTTAATGACTGCATTATCGCACAAATGAAGTACATAACTCAAGGGGTACCAAGGGTTGCATGAGAACTAACATGAATAGTGCCAAAACAAAGTCCCAAAGGCAAATTGCAGCCTCCACAACTCAGGACATAGCGGAGACAGTACCACCGAAGTTGCATGAAGACAAACTAAGTAGCACAGATAAATGAGGTTTTCATAAGTACACAACAAGGCGACACCATCGGTAACAACCTTTAAAGTTATCCTCAATGATGCAGCATTCTAAAGAGGTTCGTAAATTCTGTGACAAATCACCCAGGAGCTATGCTACTGATAATGCAATTAAGTAGTGAGAGAGGTTAAATATCGGCAACGTAGATGGGCAGCAACCTTATTATTCCATACTGTCAAAACCGAAAGGAGCCCGTTTCCAATTAACACTGAGGAGGCTAGCCTACCGCGAGTTGGAAGAAGACGGCGCCAAAGATTATGAGAAGGCCACGCCAGGAGAAGGCACGCACGCCACTAGGAACACAGAATGCCATTAAGCAGGTACCCACTCCAGAACCGCAAATTGCCAGGCCCACTGCCAGAGCACGACGCGACTCGAACCACTGCGCCACAATGGAAAGAGAGGGAAAGTAGAGGAGGCCGCAGCTCAAGCCTTAAGTGAAAACCAAAACGGGTTGCCTTTAGATTGGCCAAGTAGGAAGCAGATTCGCATCAGCTTTTCCTACTTCTCATACGGTAAATAAATCAAGTGGTGTTTTATAAAATTCAGATAAGTGGGGAGGGGGAGGAGGAGGAGGAGGAGGCATCAAATCTCAGCCTTTTCTACAACCTCTCCAACCAATCAGTTTGCGGCTACCACAACCCACTGTTGTGGCTAATTCTTCCGCCATTTTATCACCGGTCGAAAATGTACGAAATGTACGCATGAATGCATAGGAGGCAATTAAACAAGAAATGTCATTAAATCCCAATGCTTGTCGGTAAGTCCTGTGATCGGTTACCTGCGCGATAGGTCCAGTAAGTCTACCAAGACCCCTAAATCCTTATAACCATCATCAACTGCGCAAAGCATGAGCGATACTTACCAAAGGCATAAAAACTTAGTAAATTTCAAGGATACAAAGGATTTGCTTTTCAGATTTGAGATTACCGCAAATCCACTAATTGGTCAGTAAAGAGGGATTTATTAAGTGCACACTCTTAAAGTTGGCGTAACGAGTAAAATGCCTCAAAGGCAACTGAATAAGCCTAAGCATCGGATCGTAGCACAAATAATCTTTGGTAAACATCAGCATAGAAGGGGCATGCAGCAGACAGATGGTGATTAAGGTCAGTGTCGCTCCAAGTAGCCTAGCCATTAACTTGCCGAAAGAGCAACTATTTTTTTGCTCACTCGGGAATAAATACAAGTAAATACCCAAGAGTGAAAAGTTTTTTTTTTCTATGAAAAAGAAAAAAAATACTGTAACAATTTAATTTATCCCACAAACCATAACAATGTGGGTTAGAATGGTCCAGTGAGTTGTAAAGAAAAAAAAGTCCTAATTTTGTCCAAATTGGGCCAGACCGACTTAGTCCTCACCAAGATGGATCTCATTCGCCAAGGCGACAACGAGTAACATCAGTTAGGCCTATGCGACAGTGAGGAAGGATGCACGAAGGGTCTTGTCAACGAGAAACCTGTGCAAAACTCACAAATATACACTTTAAATTACAAGTGACCTTAAGTGCGACATACTGCGGAACGGTGAATGTCTCGCCCACCAGCCAATGTGCCATGCCCTCGTAATCCCAATTTCACAGCACTCCCTACAACCGCCCAGGCACCCTTAAAATAGCCCAATGGGATCAGATGATGTCCTCTTGTGCCTCAGTCGTGCCCACGACCGCTCAGAGCTAAAAGTCGTGTTCTACTAGCTTCCCCAATTTGTGAACGTCCTTAAGGCCTCGAAATTGAGGATTTATGAACAGCATTTCTGTGTGAGATTGCACAAATGAACAAGAATTCCTACACACGCAATAAATCTCGAAGTTACAAACATACCGCAGCGAGAATGTAACAGCGACTTGGTACTTGGTTAGCCGCCTCGACCTGCATCACCGATGAACCACAACAACTCTTTAGGAAGGGAGGGGGGAGGGGGAGAGGGAGAGGGAGTAAAAGAAAGCCAAATGTCTACAAGGTGGTAATAAAGGAACAATAAAAATTGGGAACAAAAGAATTCCTTAGAC